TTCATACAGCCCACGGTAGGCTAATTGTTCATACAGCCCACGGTAGGCTATTGTTCATACAGCCCACGGTAGGCTAATTGTTCATACAGCCCACGGTAGGCTAATTGTTCATACAGCCCACGATAGGCTAATTGTTCATACAGCCCACGGTAGGCTAATTGTTCATACAGCCCACGGTAGGCTAATTGTTCATACAGCCCACGGTAGGCTAATTGTTCATACAGCCCACGGTAGGCTAATTGTTCATACAGCCCACGGTAGGCTAATTGTTCATGTTGTCGAAATGCAAGTTTAGAAAAACAATTTTACTGTTCTTTTTGTGTTTTAAAAAACAACGACTGAGGTAATAAACTCATCACCGAATCCCCAGTCTTGTCCTTGCACACATTTGTATGAGCACACTTAATAGGGGCGCCAAAATTAAGCCAGGGGCGGCAGCCTTGAAGCTGTCGCTTGATGTCGAGTCCACGGCGGCATTGTCCAGGTGGTTCCCAGCGATTATTGTTCGTGGGAGGAACGATTGTTTATATCGGACTGTGTTACACCGAGGCACAGTGAAGCATTTATCATTGTTCCGGATGTAACGGCTCCTGAAGTTGTCAGATGTGAAGGAAGTGTTTAGTGAGCGTTTGGCTCTGATTAAGCGACCTGGCTTCTGTGGGGTGAGATACGTGTTAGATGGGATGGCCGGCACTAGCCCCGTGACCACTTTATATAAGAATGTTAGACGGAGCTTTTTTTGTCTGTCTTTGAGGGAAGTGATGTCAAATCTTTTTAAGAGGTCAGTGACGAAGCCAGGAGTGTTGGATTTGTAGTCACTTGCGATGAAGCGCACCGCATTACGTTGGATTCGCTCCATTTTGTCCACATCTTGCATTAGGTGTGGATCCCAGATGATCGCACCATGTTCTAATAGCGGACGGACGAGTGCGAGATAGGCATTTCGTTTGCAGGAGGTTGAGTAGTAGCGCAGATTTCTTCGAATGAATCCAAGTGTGGAGTTGGCTTTTTTTTTTATTATTTTATTTTACTAATGTGACTTCTTACATACAACAAAGCCCCTGACATACTTATGTGACTCAATACATACAACAAAGCCCCTGACATACTTATGTGACTCAATATATACAACAAAGCCCCTGACATACTTATGTGACTCAATACATACAACAAAGCCCCTGACATACTTAAGTGACTCATTACATGCAACAAAGCTCTTGGCACGCGTATGTGGACTGCAGGCTTCAGCAGCCACCACACGAAAAGTAGAGCTCCCAAAACACTTTACTCCGTAAATCCTTACATTTGTGTTTCGAGGAATATGATTAATCGATTCCCTTTCATTACCCAACATACTGGACCGCTACCTTCGTATACCTTGTTGTTTTTGTTGTTGTTTATTACAGATTAATGCTACACTGACCTTTGTTCTTGGTGCAGTCTATATTTGGAGCACCGACAATCTGACTTAATGTGTTGCCCGGATGACCAAATTAAGAGAAGATAACATTGATTTATTCAGACAAACTTTGTGACTGGTACATCTTCATCACACTTCAGGAATTGTTTTTAGTTTATTTTATTGTGAAACGCTGTTAATGACAAGAACCAGGTGTTGCCATAACATGCGGGCGTTTAGCCTACGGTGCAAATGTGATGACGGGCCCCATCAGATAAATCATATCAGAACCTGTGTCTACTGCGTCCACAACAAAATGACAGAACATCCGGGTGACCGAACCTGCAGCTATGTACCGCTACGTCCGCTACGTGGGGGGAAATAAAAGTATGCTATGACGACAGCTGCTTTCTATGCCGTCATGAGTAATAGTGGTCTTCTTAATGATACAAGGTTCAAAAGGTGCAATAATTCAATGTCAATATCTATATTAGGCCATACTTTCATATATTCTATGTGAGCAAGGCTGTAAATTAATACACACTCGTTACAAAAATATAGATTTTTCTCAATTATTTTTCTAAAAGATTCGTTTTTTTTAAAAATGATTTATTTTTTTTTTACATTTTAGCCAACGATTGAAAGATAATATTCTACTTTGAGACACAAACTAGCTTTATAATATTGTTGTTGTTTTTTGTTTTTTTAAATTCTGTCTAAATTAAATATTCTTTGAAAATTTAGCTTGGTCTTGCTAAGACTAAGAGTATTCCAAATATTTTGTGTCGGTCAATTTTTTTGTTTTATACTTTCACTATTTCTCGGCACAGTAGCCAAATTTGTGTTGTAGCAAATCAGAATTAGCAAAACATATCTGTTGAACAACATCAGCATCAGTGGCACGCATATCTGATGAACACCTTTCATTTAAAGATTTTTTAAAAAAAAAATTTTTTTAATCTACATATTTCACCTTAAATGGAACTGCTATCCTTTTATAAGCAACCTGAGAATATGCAAATTAACAATTTGTGTGAGTTTATTTTGCTTATTTCACGTAACCTCGTGAATTTGTTGAAAAAGACGTCAAAGCAAATCAATTGAGTTTTCCAGATACATTATTTGTTTGAGCTCACATTGTGATTCAAAACTTTTCAAAACGTTATTTCTATTCTCCTATTAATTGGATACTAAACTGCAACCATCTGGTACCAGAAGACCGCTGCGGTCTGGTCCATGTGCTTCAGTTGTAGAATTCATTTCCACGAAAATTGGCAACTTAAGCTGAATGGCAGCTGGACTCGTTTTGGCAATAAGTAGCTGCACTTCTGGCTGTGACGTCACCATTAGGGTTTGGACAATAAAATGGATCTGCAACAAACATAAATATTCCTGACACTCCTGCAAAATCGTTGAATGGGCTCGAAAACTCATTTGTGTAATTTTCCTGTGCATGAATTGAATGCTGGTCCAGCATATAACATAATCTTATCAAGCTGTTCTTTTAGCTCATAATTACGAACACGCAAATACTGAAACTTTTTTTCTGAAAGAAATGGCATTGATGTTTCTTATCCCAATTTGAAGCTCATTTAGATAGCCAGTAAACTCGAGACACACACACACACAAACACACTGATTATTTCAGAGATTTTCCCTGGGGGGGGGGACATTAGATTTTTTTTGGGGGGGGGCAGTGCCAGTTGATATTGTTGGACATATTTTTGCTCCGGGGGGCACTTGGCTTTCCACAAGGGGGGGGGGGCAGTGCCCTCCCGGAGATATAGCGGAAAGAACCCTCCCCCCACATACACACACGCACACACACACAGTACCCATGAATTTTTCAAAATTTCACAAACTCCCCAGACGACTTTGAACTTACTACTTCAGGGTTTTGAGAAACTCAACTATTTTCACGAAGTATGACAATCATTCCATAAACGAAGTATGACAATCATTCCATAAACGAAGTATGACAATCATTCCATAAACACGGGGGGGGGGGGTATCTCTGTATTTTACAGCTTATTCAAAGTATGACAATCATTCAATTAAACATAGGCAACAGCGGTGGATTGAACAGCAAGGCAAAGCGTGAGGTAACTAGCAATAAACATCTGTTTCACAAGGACATAAAGAGTCATAATCATGTTGGACAATACATTTTATTAGCTCGATGTTTAATTAGAATAGAAGATCCCACTTGAGTATCCTAAAAGGCAAATAAAATAATCAATTAATATTATTTGATCATAACAGAATTTATTTAGAGGGGTTTTAGCTTGTATGAGAAGTATACAGTGATGCGCTCTGAACAGACATGAGATGCGAGTGCTTCCTGTAAAATCTCTGGGCTATTTAAAGATAGTAGTAACCTATGATGCTAAATACTCTGCTGCTTCAGTGAAAATATCGCCGACGTAGATGTATAAAAGACTTCACCACATGCAGTATATGCAATATAATGATATAGCTGTTGGGATTATACAAGCTTGCACAGGGTGTCGCTGTGAGACTTTAACGCACGGTAGTAAGTTTAACTCCTGCAACGCCTGCAAGCTGTAATCGTTAGTTGAATACTGGTGTGCACGGTAGGCTTAACGCATTTCAGAATGTGCAACTAGAGCGATATAAACTATGGCTGTTAGTTGTAAACGCACGTACATGTGGACCTACATAAGACATGACGCGCGGTCGTAAGTCTGATTATGGCGATGCCATTATTAAAGGATGCATTTAGTGAACTTGACGAGTAATTAAACTTAAACAATACTTTAGATGATCAAATAATGTACAGGAATCGCCCACCACAAACACATACTCAAATTTAAACTACACAATAACATAGTGCGTTTTATCTTCAAAGCGGCCCGACAGACCGGTGACATGTTGTTGCTTGCCACAAGCCGTCTCTATCAATTCAAAATGAGAAGTTTGCACTGGACCTGCCTGATATAGGACACACAGGGGAACAATGACGTCATCGTCACCTGTTGGTCACGGGATAGTTACTCGCCTTGCATGAGTAATCAAATAAGAGTTTAGGGACCAAGAAATCTTCTTTTTAGAAGTTTTTACAATTTTTGTTTTTTTTTGTATTTCCAAGTCATGGTAATTTTTGCTTCTGTATAAATGTGGTCGAGACTAAAGGTTCACCTGGCATATTACGATATTTGTAACAAGCACTCAAAATTAGGAAACCATCTGTGACTTGCTGAATTTCTTGATATAACACCTTTATTTCATGGCTTTTTAAGAACTGGGAGATTGTTATATATATATAAATGCTCCCAGTCCCATGCCTATCAACTATTTCATACGACGTATGATTTCACTTGTATTTGATCTAGGGTGTCGAAGCGGCGCCCTTTAAAATTCTTAAATGGGCTTCTACATTGTGACCTGCGCCCAATCTTATTCTTTTCTCTCATTTTTGGTCGGATATATTATGTCAATTTAATTTATACGTATACATTTTTTTTCTCTTTTTTTTTTTTTTTTTTTTTTTTTTTTTTTTGTTTTTTTTTTTTTTTTTTTTTTTTTTTTTTTTTTTTTTTTTTTTTTTTTTTTTTTTTTTTTTTTTTTTTTTTTTTTTTTTGTGTACTGGTGAAGGCATTTGTCGAATTATTGACATTAAAAATGACAATGTGTCTTTTGTATCATCATTATTAAATCTAAACCTATATGGTTTTATTTTCGCAAATTTTTTTGTCTATTTAATCTACTTGAAATCCTTATCGCAGTCCAACAATCTTCTAATTTCCTTCATTGTGACAGGACTTATAATATATATATATATTTTTTTTTTTAAAATATTTTACAAATAGCTTAATTTTGTTAATATTTGATCTCAAATTTCCAAGTTTGGATTACTAAATTATGACAAAATCAAAATTGTCCCAGCTTTCAGTGTATGTAATTACGAATATGTAGAACAATTTTAATTTTTCATTTAAATTAAAATCACACATATTAGAAGACAATAAGCTTATTAATTTTACTTCTTTAATTTGTAAAATTCATGGATTTTTTTAAATCGGATGTGAAGGTTGAACAGAACGGAGTTAATGTTCATGACAGTCAAGGCGTATATCGGAGTTGATGTCCATGACAGCCATGGCGTATTTTGGATTTCTTATCGCCTGGTAACTCATTGTTTGCTACCACACGGGGCGGGTACGTTTGAGGTCCAGTCGCAGGCATTCAGTCTCTGGTGGAAGACAAGGTCTGGTGGGGAACAGACAAAAACAGTTGTAATATAGGTATTCTAAATATCTAAGTATTGTATTATTTCATAATTTTTTTTTTAATAGTTAGAAAGACAGGGAGAGTGACAGAGATGTAATATATAGAATAACAGAGTGGTAATACTGGTAATATATAAAATGACAGAGAGGTAATATACAAAATTTGAGAGGGTGCAAACCATGAATAAAAGTCTCAGTCTTTGTGTCTTTCCACTGCCTCTTATTAAATCAATATTATTTAAATCTTCTCTCCCCTGTCTTTTAAATACATGACAAGGTGTCAACACGTTCACCTCATGCCATTTCCTGTTAACCGAAAGTCCTTCGCACGATGGTCAAAAAAAACAACAACACACACACATGACTCTCAAACTTACTGGCATCACAGTAGAACCTCCCGTTGAACTGCCCCTGAAAACAGGAGTAGAAAGAAGTGCAGCCCGTGCTGACATCCGGGTAGTTGCCGTTCTTCTTATTGAGGCATTCGGCGGACAGCCCACACAAGGTCCCGATGGTCCCAACGCTGCAGGAAAAATACAATAAACAGAACTGAACGGTTTACAATTTTTTAATCAATCAAAAGGGCGATCGTCAATGATTTTCATCCATCTTATTGGTTGACGTCAATGATTTTCATGCATCTTATTGGTTGACGTCAATGATTTTCATGCAGCTTAATGATTGTCCAACAATAAATCAACTGGCACTGCTGGCACTGCCCCCCCCCCGAAAAATCTGAAGTGCCCCCCCACCCGGGAAAATTTCTGAAATAATCACTTTCTCCATCTCTGCCCCTAAGCCCGTGGATGGTGGGGTCTAATACTAGCTTACAATTTCAATCGGGCATGACTGTAAGGAACAGTTTGGGAAACGTTGAAAATAAGGGTCAAGTCCTGGGGAGCAATGTGTGGGAACTCACCAAGTTCGCCACCTTCCGAATTAAATTTTAATTTATTTCTAAGGGGGTAAAAACCATGATGGCATGAACGCCGTTCCCATGCGTTCCTGCAGGACTCGGGCCCTGATTGTAAAAAAACTGAAAGCTGGTTTAAAACCAGATTTCTAAAACCGATAACCGGTTAACCGAACCCCCCCCCCCCAAAAAAAAAAAAAAAAAAAAAAAAAAAACGTTATTGGCATCCCTACTCACATAACACATCTGGCCCAATCCCTGTGATAGACCCGTCCAATGGCGGTACAGTTGTATGTGACGGGTGACCCGTTCTCACAGCGTTTGTAACCCCAGCAGCCGATCTCGGCCAGGGCGAGATCTTGTCTGCCCTGACAAGGATTCCACTGAGCTTCAACTGAAAGAGGAAATCAACACTTCAATAAATACATTTTTTTAAAAAATTACATTGATATTTTCTTATTAAAAAATAATAAGATTTGACTTACATTAAAATCTTGTTTTATGAAATTGATCAATTTAAATGTGTACATATTCAGAATTGAGGTTAGGGAAAGAAAAAAAAGGAAATGTTATTATTTTTTTTTAAAAATCTGCTCGACTAATCGGAAATAGGTCAACAACGCAATTATGTGTCAGGGTTTGAATACAAAAATAAATTTTAATCAAATGCCACTCATTTACGGTTTGTAATGTAAGACTTTTAAGTGCTGCTACATTTCAGCATCATCTAAAGATCAATACTAAGAGAAATACTAATTAATTTTTAAAAAAAAACAATATTTTGCGTTGTTGTTAATAGTCCATCAGGTTTTTATTTAAATCAATATCAACCTGCAAGACAGAACAGAGCTGCAACCAATAGTCCGTAACACATTATTGTTTGGTTCATGTTTGTCTTCTGTTCACAAAATCTCGTCTTTGAAAATGCAGTGAAGATCTTGCAACATCAAGTGAATTCGGACATTATATACCATTAGATTCCGGTACTGCACGATAACCAAAAAATGTGTAAAGCCAAGCCGAAAATGACAGTTCCCAGAAGGGCCAACTGAACAATGGCATGTTACCGTCAAGTTTTTTTTTTGGACAGATCCATTCACATGACCCCATTCACTGCTTGCATATTAATTACGTCTCATGGCACTTACCACGTAGGACGTAGTGCGTTAGTTGTCCTCTCCTTGTTACCTGTACACGAGCGATTATTGCCAGTTGCTTGAAAGTGAGAAAAAAAAAAGTCGGTTGTGTTTGAGACGTGAAGATTAGCCTAACTGTGTTACTTTACTATAGAGATTGAGTGATGTTGTGTCATTTTGGCATTTAGAAAATGTCTTCAAGCGGATGTGAAAAGATTTAGAAATATTCCATTGTTGATGGAAGCCAAGTGAAATGAGAAAATTCAGGGAGATGAAGTGAACAGAAAGTTCTATGATAATTGATAGAGTTGATGTCATGGATATAATTGATAGAATGAATGTAATGGATATGATTGGTAGAGTGGATGGAATTTATGTAATTGATAGAGTAGATGGACTATATATAAAATTGATGGACTGGATGAAATGGATATGACTGATGAATGAATGTAGTGGATATGATTGATAGAGTGGATGGAATCGATATAATTGATAGAGTGTATGGAATGGGTACGATTGATTGATAGTCGATGGAATGGATATAATTGATAGAGTGGATGGAATGGATATGATTGATAGAGTGGATGGAATGGATATGATTTATATTAAAGTAGATACAATTGATAGAGTGAATGAGATGGATATAATTGATAAAGTGGATTGAATATAGAAGATGCATGGCACTATCTAATGAATAGAAAAACTGCAATTAATAAGATACATAAAAAATCGACATGTAGTTAGACAGACAGGCAGTTAGACAGGTTGTATCCTTATTTGTAAGATTAATTTCCTGTGGTTTTTATCCGAGTGCGCATTTGCCCGTGGAATGTCATATCCGCTTTTGGACTTGTTGTTCCATGAACCATCCACACCTTAAAAATAGTTCATTTATTTTTGTGCCGTCAGCAGGGCACGCAAAGGGGGGACAAAGGCTGAACAAAGTGTGACAAAGTGGGGACAAAGAGGACAAAGGAGGCAAAGTGGGAGAAAGGGGACAAAGAGGGGACAAAGAGGGGTTAGAGAAGGGACGAAAGTGGACAAGAAGAGACAAAGAGGGACAAAAAAGGTACAAAGGGTGGACAAAATTGACAAAGAGCGGAGAAAGGTGGACTAAGGGGACAAAGAGGGGAGAAAGTTAGCTTAAGGGGACAAAGAGGGGAGAAAGTTGGACTAAGGGGACAAAGAGGGGAGAAAGGGAAACAAATTGTAAACAAAAATGGAACAAAGGGAGACAAAGGTTGGACAAAGGGGATAAACAGATAAACAAGGAACAAAGTGGGACTGATGGGGACAAAGCGAGGAATAAAGGGGGATAAAGAGGGACTAAGGGGGAATGAAGTGGGGACAAAAAGGTTTTTTTTTATACTCGCCAACTTGTATTTTTAGCTGATAAACAACTGAACTGACAATTTTCGACTTAAACATTTAGCGATAAAATGTTTGCATCTGCCACTGTGCGCAATTTTCGGTGTACATATTTGTCAATGTGCGTAATTTTCGGTGTACACATTTGTCGGTGTACGCAAGGTTCGTGGTACACATTGGTCGGTGTGTGCAGTTTTGGCACTTACGTCTGTACGGAGTGTTCTGTGGAGTGTTCTGTGTGGAGTGTTCTGTGTGGAGTGTTCTGTGTGGAGTGTTCTGTGTGGAGTGTTCTGTGTGGAGTGTTCTGTGTGGAGTGTTCTGTGTGGAGTGTTCTGTGTGGAGTGTTCTGTGTGGAGTGTTCTGTGTGGAGTGTTCTGTGTGGAGTGTTCTGTGTGGAGTGTTCTGTGTGGAGTGTTCTGTGTGGAGTGTTCTGTGTGGAGTGTTCTGTGTGGAGTGTTCTGTGTGGAGTGTTCTGTGTGGAGTGTTCTGTGTGGAGTGTTCTGTGTGGAGTGTTCTGTGTGGAGTGTTCTGTGTGGAGTGTTCTGTGTGGAGTGTTCTGTGTGGAGTGTTCTGTGTGGAGTGTTCTGTGTGGAGTGTTCTGTGTGGAGTGTTCTGTGTGGAGTGTTCTGTGCGGAGTGTTCTGTGTGGAGTATTCTGTGTGGAGTATTCTGTGTGGAGTATTCTGTGTGGAGTATTCTGTGTGGAGTATTATGTGTGGAGTATTATGTGTGGAGTATTCTGTGTGGAGTATTCTGTGTGGAGTGTTCTGTGTGGAGTATTCTCCGTGCGCGATTATCGTTTGTGCGTAAGTCATGTGCGCATTTGCCTGTTCCCCTTCACAGAAGTGTCACGTGACTCTCTGCGTCCCCTGATCTCACTGTCCAGTCATGGTCATCTGTTCACAGAAGTGCCACGTGACTCTCTGCGTCCCCTGATCTCACTGTCCAGTCATGGTCATCTGTTCACAGAAGTGCCACGTGACTCTCTGCGTCCCCTGATCTCACTGTCCAGTCATGGTCATCTGTTCACGGAAGTGTTACGTCCCTCTCTGCGATCCTTGATCTCACTGTCCAGTCATGGTCATCTGTTCACGGAAGTGTTACGTCCCTCTCTGCGATCCTTGATCTCACTGTCCAGTCATGCTCATCTTTTCACAGAAGTGCCACGTGACTCTCTGCGTCCCTTGATCTCACTGTCCAGTCATGGTCATCTGTTCACAGAAGTGCCACGTGACTCTCTGCGTCCCCTGATCTCACTGTCCAGTCATGGTCATCTGTTCACAGAAGTGCCACGTGACTCTCTGCGTCCCCTGATCTCACTGTCCA